CTTTGTCTCTTTGATCGCCCTGTCTCCCCTCGTACCATATCCGACCTTACTGAAGGTTAAGGCCTTAATTTTAGCGTTCCGATTATTTCTTTTGCTTTCCTTTCCACTTTCAGTTCATGACACAGCTCAGTCATCATTACGAAGCGTTCTCCCACACCAGCTTTATCGAGGGGCTTTGCCTTCAAAAGCACAGGACAAAAATGAGTCGAATCAAAAAACAAAGCTAAATGAAGGGGAGCGCGGCAGGGAGTAAGAATAGAGAAGAAGAAAAAATGCTGAATATGGAGAGGATTAAAGAAACGATCGAGCTTGAAACGGCGTAATGATATGAGAAAGCGAACTAACTTGAACATATTGGAACCTTCCACATTATCGGTAGTGGTGTCCTCGGAGACTTCCTCACTGGTTTCCCTTACTTCTTGCAGTTTTTCCACCGAAACAGACAACATTCCGCTCAACGGGCGTCTGTGCAACGATCCGGTGGACCTGAACAAAATACAAACTAGAATCACTTGCTTGATTACCTGATTTGAATTACAAATTTCGGTGTTGCCAAGGTACGGAGGCATCATGGTGGAAATGCATCTCCCACGCAAAATCTCCTTTTCGTTGAGAACGAAACTAAGCTTTGGACTGAGGAGGGAAGGCTGCAGAGTGCGCGAAGAATTCTCATTTTTCCCAAAGTTCCTTTCTTTCCCTAGGCTTAATCTTGGAGGATGCCCCGTATCTTGCATTGAGCCCAAATTTTTTAAAGTAGTAGCCGATCAAGGACTCACCTGTATTTGTGAGGATGGTCCCTGAATTCGGCAACGTTGGTGATGGATCCAGTGTAAAACACATCCTTTCTGTTGATATAGCCGGTGTGTCTCTCTCCTATCGTTTCGCTTCGTTTTCTCCACGTACCTGTTAAGTCTCGGATTATTCACTATCCACTGAAGTATAACAGAGGTTTATTCGAGTATTCATCCATTCATACACTCCTCAGTGAGCCAATATTCGTGTTACTTCAAGCCTCGAACTAAAACGTGGAGCAAACTGAGGTAAAAGACAAAGTTGATGAAATTGGTCCGCTTTATCGGAATAACTTAGTAGGAGGAAGGTCGTAAGAGAAGCAGAGTATGCGTAAGCAAGCAAAATATTATGGAAAAGTTATTTCGCCAACTCTGCGAAAAATGTGCCCAACACCCCAATATTTGCTTTTCCCCGTCCCTTCATGAAAATGCTCCCCTTCTCGGTGAGAAAATCTCATCAGAAGGTTGACTTCGCTGAATGCGTCTCATGGAATTGCGCCAGAAATTTCCATAGGGCGGAAGTGGTGTAGTGGCAAGTGGCACGCTTACCACGCGAGCGGTCCGGGGATCAAATCCTGGGTCGTGAGTCGCCCGGGCCAACCAAGCCTTCCATCCCTCCGGGGTCGGTTAATTGGTACCAGACTTGTCTGGGAGGATAAAAACACTGACTTGTACATCGGCTGGCCCCCGCAAGTCATTGTATAGGCCACATCGCATTCAAACGCCACTACGAATGTACAAATGGAAGTAGAATGCGTGCCGCATCCCAAAAAGGGATTGATCAACGGCAAATGCTTTATCCTTTAATTTCCATGATTTGGGAGCCCTTTACGTCACTCTCCTGTATTCTTTATCTATGTCAATATGCAGTGCTAGACGTTGAACAAGCAACACTGCTTGGAAGAGAAGAAAGATATGCCTATTTCAATGATACTAGTGACAGTGGACCACTATTCACCTACTTTGACGTCAGTGGAACTCCTGAAAAACACAAAAAAAGCTCAGTCTTACGAAACGAGGAAGTTATTGGTTCTCTAAGATAAAGGTGAGCACTGCAGGCTAGCAGGAAGGCGTTTTCAGCACATGGCAAGTATTTTTTCGTGCTACAAATATTTAAAAGTAGCAAGTGCTAGGTGACGACGAGACTAGTGGAATACGCACTCCATTTGCTTCCAGTCGAAAGGACCCGACTCCATCGTGAGCAAATATTGAACACGCATTCAAACTTTTAATTGTGTTAGTCATATTCAAGTCAAAGTTTATCCACTCACAAGCTGGAAAGACGCTAATCGACGGCGGAGGAAAGGAAGGCTCGAGTTCTCTGAGGCAGGATGCGATCCTTTGGACCGCGCAAGAGTAATGCATCTAGTCACCACTATACCTCGCCCAAGCTACAACTACAGTGTTTAATCCTACAGAAGCCAAGCAACGCTCAAGTATAAACGTTTACTCCAACATAAGCTGAGCGCATGTTAGCTCGGAGCGTTTGAAACTACACTACCACAACACCAAACCTTACTTGGCGGAGATGACATGAGTAAACTATCGCGAGCTTGAATAATATATTCTAGCACACCAGTTGCAGTCGACACTTTCGGCCTTACTGGCCCACTACTTGTTCCAAAATCTTCAAGATCGCCTAGAAGAAAAAAACTTCACGATGAATCTGTGGTAAAGGGGAGCGGTAGAAGGTATGAGCTCTTGGAAAAGGGAATCAAGCTGTTCTCATCAAGCAATGTAATCTATTTGCATGAAGAATTTAGAATCTGATATCGCAAACTTATATGAGACATTTCGGCTTAGCACACTGGGTTACACATATATGTTAGTTTTGAGTGAGTATTACCTTTTCAATTAAAAAACTTCCAAGAAGTGGTATGGATTTGATAAACCAGTACCACTATTTTTTTTCCAGTCTAAGTCATTCAGTCAGTCCCGCATCGCCTGTTGTAGCCCGCGTTATTGAACGCATAAATAATCAAATAAACAAATTGAGAAACAGAGAAGGATATTGAAGAATGCTGAATATTTGATAAATAATCTAGGTTTTGCACACCCGAAGTGTGTTTCGCTATGGAATCACTCCCCATGTGAGGTTGCTAGGCACACAGGGCATAGGTAATACTGCCTCAAAGCACGTGGAATGTGCGCTAGCGGTCTGCGGCCGCACCACTAAGCAGTCCACGGCCACTGTTGCTGCGTTGCTGTCTGAGTCTCACCCATGCCCTACATACTCTAGCGTAAAGTTTCTTCTATCGCCAGGAACCCTGTTTTTTCACGTCAACCACCCCTTAGAGCCTCATATACGCTTACCCTTTATCTTCAACACATTGTGCAACAGCACGAATAGATGGTTGCGACTTGCGTTGCTAAAAATCTAGTGATAAAAAAGTAACTGCGATGGTCACGCAAAAGGACTTGAAGCTGAGCGCGCTTTCTAGGAGCAAGCAGATAAAGTAATACTACGGTGACTGAGAAGATCCACTGGAACACCTGGAGGTTCACGTTGATTCACTTAGGCTCAGGCCCATCACGGTATCCTTTACGTAACAACTAGCCAGAGTGCAAAGAGAAACTCACCATCATCAGAAGCACTGATATCTTCTAAAGACTTGGCTTCCCGAGCAATTTCGCGAACTTTGGGAATGGCACTGTCTTTGCCACTTGTGAGAAGAGCAGCATTTTCCTGAAAAATCATCTCTTCAGAATGACACCCTGTAGAATCTGACAGCTCCACCTCACCTCAATAGTAGCCTCCTTTGGTTTTTTCATCTCAATACTGTCTTCAGCTTCTTCTTCCTCGCTCACCTCTCGGAAATGCAGCGGTCGGAAAGTCCAGCCACAAATCACACATAAAGCGAGAACTACTGAAACAACACCACATTTTGGATTTCACCAGCCAAGGTGATCGATGATCATGGGAACCACGACCGACACCTTTTCACGAGCCAGAACACCCAAACATAATATAATAATTTAGACAACGATACGGGTAATCGAAACTTCTCATTTTCAAAAAAAGGTATTTTAAAGACAGGGATGACTGCCCCATTGTACGAGCGAGTCTTATTACCGCTATCCTGGCAACATTACTGATCAGTATCCTTGCAGAACTTAGGTTCAACCAGGTATGGTGTTGAATATGCACAGGCCGACTGACCTTCGAATGAAAGAAAAACTGCTCTCCATCCATAATGAGTAATAATGTATTCATTAATCGGTGAGAATAGTACTGTACCAACACCAGCGCCAGCAACAGCAATGCCCGTCGCTAACGACCTCCGCCTGAATGTGAACAGGTGAGATTATAACGCATCGAAAGTTTCAGTGGTTGACTCTGTTGCAAAGAGTTGACTAGGGAAACGTCCCAAATGAGTTTTCTCTTCAGAATGACGAAAAACGGTGAGTTCGAAAAATGTTGAAACGACCGTGATAGCAAGAGCAAAGTCGTCAACAGGGAGTCAAGGACAGGGAGGGAGCAACCCAGAAAGATGGACTCACTTCTCGAAGTACATTGTCACAATGACAATCGCCGGACAGTACATGAGGCCAAATCCGACTCCCATGATCACTCCGACGGAAAACACGATATGCCACATTTCAGTGGCGAAGTACGACATGCCACACCTGCCAATGAAGTTATTGGATGCAATCATAAAAAATGTAAATAAAGAGTTAGCATTGATTGTGACAGAGTACGTGATACCGTGAAATCAAGCGTGCGCGGTAGTGATGCAGTCCACAACATCACGTAGGTTTTCATTTCAGCGGTTTCGCAGCCGTTCATATAGCGATGCCACACGTTCCCTAGTTAACCCATTCGTGACAGTGTTAGCATCCGTGGGGCTACTAGAGCTCTCACTGCGACTCATGCATTAACTGTAGCGCAGGCTTAACGAAATTGGAAAGTTTTTTCCATGAAAAGAATCTTCATACCCTCGCTCATCTACGCCAGCCCTGGGCAGAGGAAATCTCCCTCCACTCGAATTTTATTGAAGAAAAATCTCCTGACGCTGCTGCTATTGCGCAATCCTGCGCGGTCGCGAATGGGTTAAAGACAAGTGGACGCGATTGAATCTTGGTCAGAGAAATTCGCTGCTTGAGCGAGGTAACAGAGCCTCTAATTACAGGGTTGGTGATAATGACGAGACTTGGAAATGTGGGAAAGGAGTTAAGTCTCTGAGATTGACCGCTGCACACTGCGCTATGTCGAGATAGGTCGGCCTACGGTGTAGCGCCTCTAATACCAACAGTCGCGTTCTAGATCGCTAATGTTCCTACTTATTTGAGCTTTTCCCATTCTTTTCTTCATAGATCTCATCGACTTTTTATTCAATGCTCGAACAAATAACACAACAGTTCGATCCCGACCCAAGCCTTTGAAGCGATTTAATCATTCTCATTATCTTCACTATTCCTCCTCTGTTGATCTAATACACATCTAATTACTTGCGTTACAAAGCAGTGGTGTTGATGCTCACTTTCTACCCCCTTAAGCCAAGAAGCAGGCATCCAAAGCGTTATGCATAGCCTGATTTGAGCCCTAACTGGATGCTGTAACATCACTCAAAAAACTGCCATCAACGTTCTTACCCGATAGCGGCAATGAAAGCTCCAGTGATTGTCGTTGCTCGACATCCATATTTATTGCAAACCGCTGACGCCAACGGACCACTTCCGAGTGTTAGTCCAGTGAGAAGTGAAATAATCATCGCACATACAGTGTTATCGGAATTGAATTCCTGAAACAGAACTGCAGTGAAGAAGGCAGAACTTTCAAAGATTTTCACTCAAAGAGCAACGCTTTCTCACTAACTCAAAGGAAGTGATTACGATAAAGCTTGTGCGCCCCGGGGAAGGATCTGCGCCAGTAGAAGCAGTAGGGAGGCTGCCGAGAAAGCGAGCTGTAGCGCTTTCACAGCAAAAGGTGCGCTGGTTGCTGAGCAGTACTTAGAAACCGCAACACCACTACCCGCTCATCCACCACGTAGTTTAGTTTGTGAACTGGGCAACATTGTTGCTAGTGTAGGCATCGTTCGCTTTCTAGTTGGAAGGGGATTTCACCTCGAATAGCCGTGTCTTCTAAATTATCTGTGTAGCGTTATCAATCAAAGCGTCATAATTGTCAGCATGAGCCAGGGATCGGGGTTATCACGTTCCAGGCGACCTCTTTCTTCACCCTCGCTTTATCCATGATCAAAAACGAACGAATAAACAAGGAGGCTGAACCCCATTTTGCGTGCTTTA